ACTGCCCTAGGTTTCGGAGGATGGGTGAATAAATCAATCTGAAAAAAATGACAGAATATTGCACTTCATAAATAAACGCCGGGCCCCGATTAAACGCCGGCTTCAAATAAACGCCGGGTCCACGAGGCCAATTTTGAAATAAACGCCGGGGGTGTTTAATTGAGAAAATACAGTATGTTTTGTGTAGTTAGGGATTATTCAAACTCAAAGGCCGAAAAACTATTTACACAAAAATTACCACAAAGTTACAAAAACTGAAATCAAAATTCCCGCTAATCCTGGGTTAGCTTAATCGGACTTTGAACAACCCGGCCCAGGCGATTCGGCTGAACGGTGGAAGATGAGTGACATTTCAGGCCACCTCGGAGACCCAGGGGCAGTTAGTCGGGACGACGCGATATTTTCGGGCGAAATTTTACTTCTTCATGTAAACTTTCGCCCAAAAACATCGCGTCGTCTGAAAATATCGCGTCGACTAACTGCCCCTAGGCCCTGGGTCTCCTAGGATGACCTTTTTTCAGCTACAGGTCAGGCCTACAGAGCAGCGGGAAAGCTTCTTGAGCCGACTGTACGCGAGGATGAGCAGCAGTTTCCTTCTCAAATTCAAGATGGGGACGATGGGGACGGTGAGTACTAGCCTACGTGGGTACGGCTACACGTAAGCTAATAACAGGACAGGCGCATTAAAAACTGACATCAATTTGTTTTTGTACGATAACAAATTGTCAGATTGTCCGCTCTCGTTTGTTGACGCATCGCAAAAATTATGAATTCATGTGTCTGTTCGCTTATTGACAATAAAAATTAGCCAGTGAGCGCGCGAGAATTTCTGCAGTTATCGTAAAAAACACGTCAACAGTCACATATTAGCGCGGCCTGTGCATAACAAACACTCCGATATAATTGAACACTAATTTGTCACCAGAACCAAAAAATATGCCAGTCAAAAGTAAATTTCAAAAACAAAAATAAGTAAAAAAGTAGTCACTCAGTCACCGATCGTCAGGTGTCGATGAGCCCACGATTCACCAAAACTAAGTGTATCATCCAAAGTAAACATGCGTAATGTTCGTCGCCGGAAAATACGCGTTGTTAGAAGATTGTAATGGAGGATTTTGTTAAAAAGATATTTAAGCTCAAGTTAACTTATTGACGGAAATGAACAAGTTCGAGGCGTAAGTGTGCTTGCTGTTGAGTTTCATCCTGCTGCAGTTTCATTTTAATCTTGTGATCAATATGACTCGTTTTTTTGTCATAACAGTCTCAAGTTTGATGATTCAAATAATGGTGACAGTACCGACGATAAGGAGGACGAGGAATGTGATTCAAAAAGCGCGGTGAGTAAGAAAATATAATACAGTCTGTGCACAGTCCTGTTTTAATAATTTGCTTCAATTTGGAACAACGAGGAATTCAACAGTAGTAACTATTCTTATTCAGTGAGGTAAAATTAAGAGGCTACTTAACAAATCGAATGTGGTTTAGCGTGGTCTGTACTCTTATCGACAACGATACGCGTCATCACAGTGGTCAAAATGTTGTGGACTCACGAGGTGCAGCCAACACAACGACTCTTATTGACAATGGCAAATTAGCCAATCAGATTGCGAGATTAGTGGCAATTGTGGTAAAAATATTGATCAAGTTGAGCTCAAGTGAAAACATATAACTTTAGTAACATAACTTCCCGGGTACTGCTGGAAAATTGGTTGCAGGTGTGTGGCGAGCTTCTTGAAATTCCTATTATAGCGGAGCTCTGGCGGCCCGAAGGGCCGCCAAGCGGAGCCCCCTTCTCATGTGGGAAAGAAAAAGAAACCCACGAATGAATTTTCTCAAGGTTTTCATGGCTAGCGGCATTGCTTGTGGGCGCGTATGCACGACGACGACGACGACGGCGGCGGCGTTGCCCAACATGCCAGCTATACTCCAGCTAAGAGGTTGACAGAGACATGCACCCTTGGTTTGTAGCGTAACCCTTTGATATTGGACATCCATGTTATGGTCAATTGACATCTGTCATAACAAGGTATCCGCTGATCAGTATCGCGTGACCATATCGCAGGCTCAAGTTTAGAGCTCATCGAGGTCACATGTTTTTTTTGAAGTTAACCGCTGACCAAGTGCTGGTTTTCGATTAGATTCCGGGCTCATGTCAGGTTAAGTTGGTGGCCGGGTCATTCGGAAGTCGGTTAACACTAACCCAGGATTATAAAAGTTGACTGAAGTATAATTTTTCTTGTATACAAATGTTTTTCACTGCTTTTTGTGTATTTTGATGACCTTGAGATAATTGAAACTCAAAACAGAAGGCCAAACCACAGAAATGGAAAACTCCACCGTAAAGTTTCAAAACTCAAATTGAAATTCTCGCTTATCGTGGGTTAGTGTAATCGGGCTTTGAACAACCCGGCCCAGGAGCTCTGCTTTTAGGCTTGGCTAAATCTATATATTATTTGGGGAATGCTATTTTGCGAGCCTGCGAGCCAGAGCCTCGAGCTGTGAGCTGCGTGTCTCTTTTTGCGAGCCCTGAAAGATTCCCACCAAAAAAATCCAAAAATGGGCCTAATGCTCTAATATGGTATTTATTACATGCTTCCATTATGTCAGTAACCAAGGGAAATTGAACGACATTTTCTGATCAAACCAGGCTAACCAAGAGGAATCAGACTCTTACCATTTTTTATTCCTTTTCCAAATTCCCTACATAAGTGAAGAGCAGTAGGGCTGTGAACTGGTTTGTCAAAAACAGAATGGCAAATTTCGGTCGGACTGGTCCAACGGGAATAATTAAGTGGACCACCTCCAGAGGTGATTCTGAATATTCCGGTTGGAAGAAACCAAAATGGACCTTTCCATTTTACTTCCAACTGAAATTTCAGGAATCTTTGGCATAATGGTAAACACCGGCGGTCTTCATGTGTTTGTGCACTGTAGCATGGCAATTGAAGTGATGGAGAGTTTTCCTCTCTTTTTATTTCTACCAATTAAGCAGATATTATAGGCCAGACATTTTTCCCATCTTGCTTTTTGGTAGCTGCAGGCAAGATAAACAGAAGTGTCATGACAGCGTGACATTTCATAAGTTGACAGCTAGGTTTGAGATTCGCAGTCGTCCAGTCCTTCGATTTTATAGGGGAACTATTAAAAAAGGCAATTAAGAGCCTGGCTTCCTGAGAGTCAAAACAACGGACAACTGGGAGCCAAAAAATAAATAAATAAATAAATTATGAATCTTTTGTGGTGGTGCTTCTTGATATATCATATTTATAAATACCTAAAATTCGCCTCACTTGAACGTTTCCCTGTTTATATTGTGTGGTTCCAGAAAATATCCATACCCCCTATGGAGGATCACAGAAATTCTAAGGGGTAAGGGGTCTGAAAGAGGTAAATTTCCGTAGGGGAGGGGTCTACTCAAAGAATTTTCTTTCCAGTGGGTGTGAAATGCGATTGAATGAATACTATCATACTTTCCCAATCGATTCAGTTAACTAAACCGACAGAAATGTTCCATCCATTGAAATAAACGTTAGATTCTTTGTCATATATTTTCCATTTTTCTTCCAACATTGTACAACAGATGGCAATCCGGAGCATCGTCTTTGTTGGACGTCAAGTTGAACAAAAAGCTGACAAAGAGGTGCAGCGATACTCGAACAATGAAGTTGATGATATTTTATACTTTGAACTTAGATCGTGCTGTATTAAGCTTAAACGCAGCTCAGATGCTTTTTCTGGGATTAATCATTGCTGTCAATTAAATGAGATTTGTACTTTGTTTATTTCGTTTGATACTCATATAAAATTATTCGCTGTTTCAGTCTTGCCGTAACTAGGTTATCACATATTTTCATCATTATCCATGTAGTTAATAGTTTGCTAAATCAGTAAAGTCGATTCAAAGCCATTTGTCTTGAACTACATGTATATGTAACATTGGACAGCGAGGGGCATCGGAGCAGTAGCCAAGATTTTATGTCATTTATAGAACGACTGAACAGTGCGTGTTTAACGTATGAAATGTATGACAAATTTTATTAAACTAAGGCACAAAATGAATTAACTATCATTTACAAACTACAGAGACAAAGCGTATGACTTAATTGATGTATTCCTTTGGTGAAAGAAGAAATATATGTAAAACGACATTTGGGAAACAGCTGTTTGGAAAAAAATGTTGCGTGATGACTTTACTGCGTGTGTAAAGTAATTTGATATGTTGTTTTGACCATTCATAAATTAAAACTTTGATTGGGTTATTTGAATAAGCTCTATGTACGTTCTGAGATTCTTGTATGAAAACTTCTTTTAATTTAATGAAGAAAAAGTCAGCTGCTATGCCATGTGGGAGTGAAGCGCCTCTAAGTCATATGTTTATTAGTTCAAATGCTGGTTCAAACATTTTAACATGACATGAAGGAACGTGCCGCATCTGCAGTCCACCGTGAAAAGGTACGTCCTCGTCTACAATATAACTATAAACAGCTGCGACTAAATTTTAGTACAGTAATTATTAATGAGTTGTCTCGTTATTTATGGATATGGAATTTCCGAGGGGTATGGGGGCGCCCAAGTAGAAAAATCATGGAAATTCTAGGGAGTGGGGGCAGTACCATGAAGTCCCCCTGGAACGGAAAATCCTGGGGGGTGGGGGGTCAAACTGGGAAAAAACCTTCCGTGGGGGGTATGGATATTTCCTGGAACCACACATTTGGATGTTAGTCAATTTTATTTAATCAAAATTTTGATATGAAAATTTGCTAGGGAAACTCAAAATTTCACTCATATCTGAAACTATAAACTGACCTTTAAATCCGTTTTGATAGGGACGGAAAAACTACTTGTGCGGAATTTCACGCATGAAAGAAAATCAAAACTTTTTGTTTCTTCTGCCAAGTGTAGCATTTACTGAGTAAAACGTTAACGTTAAATTAAAAACTCAAACAAAACAATTAAAACAAAACAGAAAAAAATGTAGTGGCTAGCAAAAATAGGCTTGTGGCTCGAGGCTTGTGGCTCGAGGCTCGTGCCTCGCGGCTCTGGCTTGCAGGCTCACAGGCTCGCACATTAGTGATGCTCTTATATTTCAGACCAAAATTTGTAACTTTATTTTTCCTACCCCAGCAGTGTTCTGACCATATATGCACATTTGGACAGGATACCCCTAGATTTTACAAATAAATTTTCAGCAAAACTTGTCACTATTAATAAGTTAAATCAGCTGGTTTGACAGTCTCTAGTCTCTCTCATGAAACTGGTCAGTGTAAAATGTAGATTGCAGACTGCTCACTGCAGACTGCAGACCAGGGGTAAAACAGCAGGTTTCTTTTGCAGGTCACAGGTCGCAGGTCACATCAAAATCAAAAAGCACTCTGTAATACTTGCGTTGTAAGAATTGCATGGGATCCCAAGAGGTTCATCGATGTTTCCATGCAACAAACCTGAGCTAAAAAAGTTTTACTATATAATTTTAATGAAAACTTTCTAGGGGTGGCTTATGTACTAAATGGGTTGAAATGTAGCTTTTGGACATGTATTATATATATTTTATCGTAATAAGACAATTCATTATGATAGCAAATGAACTGTTTTATTTAGAACTATCCTTTTGAAATCTTTACATTGAATATGGACATACTAAACATAAATAACAGTAGCCCATATTTGATATATCCAAATTCTAACATGACTTCAAGGCTTTTTGGTTAAAATTCCATATTCGTCTGGATGTTAAAAGACACGGGAATGTTTACACGTTCTGTGGAAGCAAAATGCACTCTGGGAGCTAGTAAATAATACACACCATTTATATGACAATGGTAGGGTTACACAACATTCATTTGAAAGTCAAAGAATACTCAAGCTGTGAGAGAGGGAAGTTCTGGTTTATGCTATTGTTTATGTTTTACCTGGGGGCAATATATCTTCCAACTTTAAAAAAAGTAATCCGCTTGTGGCAAATGAGTTACTATGCAAGGTTTTGGTTCACTCAAATGTGTGTGTATCGTTTTTACATTCCTTTGTTGATTCGACTAGCTAATGTTGTGGAAATGAATCCTGAGCCTTGTTACCGTGTGGATTGTTCTAAAACTGTCACGGCTGACTATCATCAAGGTGATGTTTCACTGTTTGGAATGAGTGCTGGTAAACAATGTGTAGCAATGTGTTTGACTGCAGTTGTTTTCAATGATTATTGTAATGCATCTTGGTGTAGAGATTAACTAATTAAAAATAAACATCATAAACAGACGAACTCGGAGATGGGGTTAAAATCATATACTTCAAAGCTATGAAAACTTGTAGCACCTGAAACACCAGGGAGAGGCAGGTGGGATTT